GGAAGGGGTGAGAAAAAAACTTAAGACAGACCCACCTTGACTTTGTTTTGTATAAGAGGGAGAGCAGGGGAAACACTGTCAGGCTTCAAGATTCTGTTTCTATAGCTTATACAGGTAGTCCTCACTTAGCGACCACAATTGGGACCGGAATTTAGGTCACTAAGCAAAGCAGTCATTAAGCAAATCATCACATGACTGGACCTGATTTTACAACCTTTTTTTGCAGTGGTCATTAAGTGAATCATGTGATCATTAAGCAAATCATGTCATTGTTAAATGAATCTTGCGATTCCCCATTGATTTTGCTTGCTGGAAGCCAGCTGGGAAGGTCACAAATGGTGATCATGTGACCCCAGGAGACTGCAACTGTTGTAAGTACAAGCTGGTTGCCAAATGCCTGGATTGTGATCACATGACCGCAGGGGCATTGTAACTGTTGTAACTTTGGGCACCAGTCGTAAGTCACTTTTTTAGCACCATCATAATTTCAAACAGTTGCTAAATGAACAATCGTTAAGTGAAGACTACCTATAGTAGATTTCTAGGCTTTCTTGTGGTGTCTGTTTCCTGACATGGTTTACCTCAAAGGGATGACAATGGTGTTTCTCTGTTTTTGGTGATTCTTATAATGATAATACCTCCCCAAGGCACAATCCCATCTCCTCAGCTTTCATTTGAAAGAAGAGTATTACAGAATTTGAGGTATGTGCAGGCAAAATGAGCAGAAGCTGTTCTGTCCAATCATTTTGAGGCTATTAGCCTGCACCTCCTTTTCAATATTTTTAACCAAGGAATGAAATGATAATAATAACTGATTCCCCCTTTGTCTGGAGAAAGAAAATCCTGGTTTATTTTTATACTTTTGTTTAGATTGTCGATGCTAGAGAAGCAAATGCTGTTTCTAGAAAATCAAGAAATTCAGTATGTTACTGTAACTGTGATTGAGCAGCACTATGTCTACCCCCAGCCCCACCGTTCAAAACAAGGTATCAGTAAAGGTATAAGTTCCTGATCTAAGTTTTATTTCATACCAAAAATGTGATTTTTTTTTTGTCTGAGTTTGTGAACATTGGGCTAGTACAGGTAAATCCATAATTATTAGATCCATTATTGGAAGGAATGATCTTCGTTGAGGTTATGGTGGCACTGAAAAAGTGCCTAGTATTTTTATACCCATTTATTGGGTGGAAGAAGCACAACAACTTCATTGCACAATTATATACAGTTTTTTGGATGGCTCAAAGAATTTTATTTTGCTTTAAAGAGAAAGAGCTATGAAGCAATAGCTTGTCTATGACTGTAATAAAGATTTGATTTGATTTGATTTGATTTGAATACCTTTAGGCCATTTGTGGCAGGACATCATCCAGCCAGCAGAACTGATAGTAGACATCCCATTTTCTCACTGAGACACAAATGAAGGGTAGTCAGTGTCTGAAAGTGGAGAGTTAGCACAGGAATGGAAGTCTGCACAGACCGTGCATAAAAAAAAATATCCCTGCTTTCAGAAGAACCTTCTGGCAGCTGTAGTAACTACTGAGCAGCCACTGAAGGGTGATATAAAAAAGAAACAGACAAGCCAAGGTTCAATTGTTTGTCTCACTTGCAAAGGCATAATGCTTTATGCTCAGATCTCAAGAAATAAAAACAATTAATGCCTCTGGTGAATGGAAGGTTCTGTAAAGCAGTCAGGTTTGTGCAACAGGTTTGGCACTGACAAATGTTGTGAAAGAACTGAGGGTGGAACCATCCTTCTCACTTGACTATAACTCAGGGTTTGGGACTTGATAAAAGATCGCTAAGAGTGCTGCATGATCCAGGAGGACGGGGAGATTTCTTTTTATGATACCTAAATTTTGGAAGGCAACGCAAAGGAATCTTTCAGTGAGAAGGCCCGAGTGTTTGAAGAATGAATCTGTAAGTTTGTAGTGAATCAGTGATTGTGGGTGAATAAGAAGACACAGAAATAGAGAGGAATGAGTGGGATCTAAGCTAGGTGCATCTGGGGCTTCAGGATGTTTTTCTTCTGAGGATCTGATGTCAGATAGATGATTGCTTTTCTATTTTTTAAAGCATCTAATGAATAAACCCTAGGCAATTAGGGTTTTTCCTGTCCCATTCACCCATATTTAATGTTTGCTGACACTTTCCCTTCCAGTCCAATTAACTTGGTTAATTGTTCAGTTCAGGCACCAGTGGGAACTGGATCTCAAATGCTAGTTGCTCACAGGAACTTCTTGCCAGTTTTAGAATTTGTGAAGGAATCATTAAGCAGTAGGTACTTCTGCAAATATACTGATGCCAGGTTAATCGGTTTTTGTTCTTCACTTAATGAGAGGCAGAAAATTGGAGCATATCTATGGACATGCAACACTACTCATTTCTGAAACTGTGTACAGCACAATTTCAGTCATTTAATATCAAGCTCTAGTGGCACCTCAAGGCAGTGCTAGGAAGCGCATAAATCTGACAGTGTCTGCCTAGGCTCCATTTGGACTAAGGTGGTCTATAAAATTTCAATCAATTGATCAATCAATCAATCAATCAATCAATCAATGTTTCCTTTTTTGTTGGCCTCTAGCTTTTCCAGTGCTCCTTTCTGTTATAGGAAAAAAAAAACGTAAGCAAATGCAGCTCATGGAATACCTCCTAGTAAAGTGGATTAAAACAGTAACATTTTAGAATCATCGTAGATAATTGCAAGGTGAAGCTAAGTTTTTGTTTTTTTAAAAAGACTTTGACTCTGAAAGTCATATATAATGAATGAAACTGACATTTAAAAAAAGTATACCATACCACAGTTTCCCAAATATATGGTTTGATTTGCGCTTAGCATATGGTATGAACCCAGCCAATTATGGTTTAATTTTTTAAAAAATGGCTTACAATGTGTGAACCTAGCCAGGTGTATAAGATCCAAACGAATTGTCTTTTTATTAATGTTGGTTCGTTTCTTCTACTCTATGGAGCATCCCATGGAGTTCCACCACCAGTACTAGCAGAAAGGAAAAGCTACTTTCTCTGTTTTACCCTATTGTTGACCTTTATACCCCCCCACCCGACCCCCATCTAGTCTGAAAGAGGCTATAAGAGAAGAGATAAGATGTGAAAATGTTATTCCAAGATTCTCCTGTGGAGAGAACTTAAGCTGAAAGATCACTTCTATTCATAGAAGGAATAACTAGGATACAAATCAACCTGTTTTCTTAAAATGTTCATGTATGAAGCAATACAAAATTATCCCATTCTGCATCATGACACCTGGTTTTATAAACCACTGTATATGATCATCTGTTATTTTTGTTTTTTTTAGTTTAACCACTTTGTTACTGAATCCTATTATAATTAAGCCTAGGGAACGAAAATGATATTCTTTTATTAACTCTGACTTTACATCCTTCTCTTGTTTCCTATGTGTTTAAAGATCAAAGTAAAACTGGTTACCAGCCGTATCAATCCATCTATCTCCAAATATCAGTACAAGTTAATAGATGTTTCTTATCTTACAGGCTTGGGATACATGCTCAGTATTATCAAGCCTGAAAAATTATCAACCCAGTTCTTTGTTCACTGCCAGTGTTGTATTTTTACATCTTTCTGTCTGGCTAGCATTTGTCGCTTTCTGTACTAGCTTAGTGTGAAAAATTGGAGACGAGTAGGAGAAACATTTATGAATACTCTGGCCAGTTTCGTGGCTTGCCGAGGAACAGCAGAAACTTGTTATCCATTGTTGCATCACCCCACCATTCTGTACTGATGGAAAAGACAATAAAGATCTAATGTAAAACAATGCCCTTTTTGTATACTGTCTTTCATCTGCTGATTGGACTTCTTGTTTATTATTTCCAACAAATGTAACAACCAATTACACAATCATGGGAATGTGTGAAAATAAAGATCAAAGTACTGCAACAAAAGGATCTGTCTTCAGTTACATTTAGATAGATGTTACTAAACTGACTAGTACTTTATATTTTGATGGCAGAGAAATCTTTTTCAAATATTTAAATACAGCACAATTTTCTAGGCTTTGCACCAGCCAGATATATCTGTCTGGTATTGCCTCTCTTTCTGCTTAAAGACAGGAAGAGATTTAAATGCTAGGTGTTTTGTTTTCTTTTTTTTAAATAGCATTGAGGCTGCAACTTTAAATGTTCCTTTTTGAAAGATGTCTCACTAACTATGCATTCTATTAAATTGAATAGAATTTACTCTGAAATAAGTGGAACAGCCTGTGATTGGGCAGTAAAATTTAGTTTTCTCTTTGGCAGAGTAATTCAAGAGAAATTTCACAATGCATTATATAAACCTTTTTATATTTTTTACCAACTGTCTGGGATCTGTGTTCTTATAATGTTTTCCAAATTTGGTAACTTTTTAAAGCTGATGTTTTTAGATGTAGGTTACTTTAGAAAATCTATATAGGTCTGAAGATCAGCTGCTGATGTTCATGTAGTGGATGGAGACATGTTGTGCAAAACTATAATGTGGCTTTGTGGCTTATTTAAAAACCATTATTTGTGATTTAGTATTGCATGTACCCAATTAACTGTGGCTTACCTGACAATCATAGTTTAAACAAAGGATGGTTTAATATGATATTTGAACTCAATCATAGTTTGTATCGCTTGCTTTTTACTTCCTGAATATTATGGCCATTCTAATGATGAATGAGTCATCCATTTCATTGCCCAGCTGTAGAATCTGAAATTTTGCATGAAATGGCTCATCCTATGCTAAAGTTTGCAGGCTGCCCAGTTTTCTTTATAGTGAATGAATCAGATTTCTTTTGAAAAACAAGTGTAGCTCACCTTTCCGTTCAAATAGATTGACAAGGAATTAAATTTGCCATGGTCATGAAAGTATCACAAGCAAAAGAAAAACAAACCCTATACAAAACAAGCTGCTGATCTTGAATCATTATTGTCACTTAATATGTCATATTAATTACAATAAAAATAAATGGAATAAGAGGACACTTGAGAAACAGGGCACGCCTTTTTCCTTAAAAAACAGTAGATTTTATTGAGTTTTAATATGTTAGGGTAACCAATACAAGATCTGTGTTCAATTTACAATACAAACAGGGACTCCTCTAGCAGCTTTGAAACTTGGCAAGCCTGGCTGTAACGCATGATAAGTGCAGCAAAAGGCCGTGTGAAGTACAAAAGGAATACAAAAAGTTTCTCTCCGTGGACTGTACATTCTTTTAAAGGACAGTGTCTGCTCCACAGGGCAGTCATTTAGCAATTTTTAAAAGTCACTGGCCGATGTTCCAGACAAAGATGAGCATTACTTTATGTGTGTTTAGAAAATTGCTTATCTTGCCATAGCTGGATCGAAAGGAAAGAAAGCTTCGAAAGGAACATTAGGCAAAGATTTGCTAAATAAAGAAGGACTATAACATATTTTCACAACTAATTGTATGCCAAATAAATCAAGCAATAGTAAAAAAAAAAAAAAAAAAAATCAACCCCTCCCAAACAAAACAGAAACAAAACCCCAAACCCTTCTGTTCAAAATAACAGCACTTATTGCTTATTCCCACAAATTTCATTTATGAACACACAGTATATTTAATTACTTCTTCCACACAGGGAAATGTGTCCATTTGGTCTGTTGTTTTAGTGAAGATGATATATATTAAACCATCACCTTTCACTTTTAAGAAGATATTTTATTGCTTGTTTTTCATATATAGCCAGCCTCTGGATTAGGCACATCCTTAACGCAAGTTAAATATGCTTTTCTCTCTGTTGCCTTTTGTTTATACAGTGCAGAGTATACGGACTTAAAATTAAAGGGCAGCAGCTCACTCCAGGTCACTTTCCGGGTCTGGGTTCAAGGGTGTGCAGTAGTTTGGCTTGTTTGAAGGGACATAGCCCGGAAGACACACACACTTATAAGATCCTTCCGTATTAATGCATTTGGCATTCTTGCAGAGTGACATCCTATTATTCAGTTCATTGCATTCATTCACATCTGGAAGACAAAGCCAACAGGATCAGGTTTGGTACATTTTCTTCAAACAGAGGACAGGTACCCAAGAAAAAATTGACCTAGCAACTAAAATTAATATAATTGAATCACCACAATTTATCTACATATAAATTATGACACTTACAGTAAATACCACTGGTAGCAAGAAAAATACCACTGAATAAGGGAATATACTAACCATCCTTTAAGGTAGCTGGTTGAGTCTCTAACAGATACTGATGGTACAGAAATTTAATAAATACCTGCTTGGCATGCAGAAGCCCAGTACAGCAAGATTAGGAAGGTGTGAGGGCATACTTTGGGTCCCTTCAATTTAGGAATGCCACCTTGAGGACCCAGGAAGCATGCCTTTTCGGTCACAGTGTTTGCCTTTGGAACACCTGACCACTAGAGATTAGATTAGTCCCAACCCTGTGGGCCTTCTGGAAAGTGCTCAAGACCTGGCTGTTTCCCTGGCATGGGGGCTGGGAAGTTAATGAGCCTCAGGTGTTTGTTTTGCTGTGAGATGTTATTCTCAGCTGCCGTTTTTAAATTTTGTGCGATCATATGTTGCATTTATAGTTATTTCTATTGTTGTTTCAATTTTAAATTTTGTTTACTGTCCAGAGTCACTTTGGCAAAAGGGGTGGCCATATAGAAATAAATAAATAAATAAATAAATAAATAAATAAATAAATAAATAAATAAATAAATAAATAAATAAATAAATAAATAAATAAATAAATAAATAAATAAATAAATAAATAAATAAATAAATAAATAAATAAATAAATAAATAAATAAATAAAATGTGTTCCATTCATATTTTCATATGAATAATACAATAACAGAGCCTTAAATATATAGAAAAAAACTTTTGCAAACATTTCCCCAATTTGTACTTTATTATATACATATATATAGTACAAATATATATGTGTGTGTGTGTGTATGCACTGCAGAATACACACACACACACACACAATGCAGAATTGTAGGCAACCCTTTCCCACATTTTATTATTTAAAATGCACTTGTGACTAAACAGAAAATGTATTTGAAAAATGAGGAAGCAAATACAGGTAGTCCTCATTTAGTGACCACAATTGGGACCACCAACTCTCTTGTTAAGCAAAGTGGTCATTAAGTGGGAAATCATGTGACCACTACTGTGCTTTCCTTTTTCCCACTCCTCTGCCCTTTGGAAAGTTCATCCAGTGGCTCTGGGATAGCTGGCTTGAAACTGACAAAACTAATCAGTTTCACACCTTCCACTTTCCTTTGCCTCCTAACCACTCCCTTGCACTCTGGGATAATTAGCAAGAAGGGAATTAACGTTTGTATTTACATTCATTGCAGAGGAAGGGATTACAAGAGAGTAAGCAGGCACACAATGGGGAATATACATCGAAAGCAATGCACTGGTGCTGGAATTCCCGAGCGTGCTATGCGAACAGGCTGGTGTATTCCCCATTGTATGCCTGTTTACTCTCTTGTAATTCCCTCCTCTCTGATCTCTCTGTTCTGCAAGGGAGAAAAAAAAGAAAAACAACAGGTCAGGCACAGGACAATGTGTACTGACAGCAATGGCCATCACGTGACTGAGGGATGTTGCGAAAGTCATAAATCTGGGCATCACAGTAAAGTTATTTTTTTTTTCCACTGTCATAACTTTGAACAGTCACTGAATGAGGCAGTCGCTAAGTGATGACTATCTGTAACTATTTGTGTGGACTTTTTTTTTCTCCCAGCCAGAGTTATATGAGGTTAAACAAAATGGTAGTAAAATGAGAATGTTTTGAAGCTGAAAATGTCGGAACCAGGTAGCCTTGGAAAGGGACAAATATCTTTTTCTTAGACAATTTTTGTATAACCAGTTGTCAGCAATGGGATGTCTCTCTGGGCCATCTGATACCCACCTTCAAAGATATTAGTATCATTTTCTGTCTTTGAGAGGTTATGAGAATTGCCTGGATGTGAATAGTGCAACACATTCTTACCAACACATGTCATTTTGGTCATGTCCAAATGGTAGCCATCAAAACAGTCACAGGTATATCCTTCCTGCACTCTGACACAACGTCCATTTTCACATCCATTCAGAATTCCACATTCTTCGGCTTGTAACTCCTCAAAGCTATTCAGGAAACCTGGATTTAAAAAAAAGGATTATAGAGGCACAACACGCAAATTAGTACTTGTGCTGGTTCAAAGAACTAATTGCTTCTCTAGTGCCAATTCCAAAGTTATGAAGTTGGGCTCATAGATGAAGTTGGTAAGAAATGCATGGAAGAAATCTGAAAGTAATAAGATGAAAAAGGGGAAGCCTACTTCCTCTAGATGTTTCTGATTTACAGCTCTCAGGATCTTTTATAAGTGGCCATGCCTTCATCCTTGGACGTATTGCTTGGGGCTGAAAGACTACAAATTCTCCAACCCCTTCTAAAATTATACATTTCAAAATTCAATTTGAAAATCCACTTGGATTCAGGCAGCAGATAAACCTAATGAATAAAGAAATATTTAAGGCACATCATGATTTGAAATGTAAAATCTCATCCTAAGCCCTTTTATAAATTATGAGTTTGATCTGGACTTAGGGCTCTTCTTCACTCAACCCTAACCACTGCACAAATACGTCCCAGCAACTTCTTTTATGCTATATCCTCATGATGTTGCTTTGTCTCATCCCCAGTTTGAACCTGAGGCAGTTTAAGGTTATCCTTAGCTGTTCTGGTTTTAACGTAGCATTTCCCCTCTTCTCTCATCACAATTTTTGCTCTGGAAATGATCTAACACACATGTGATTGCTTCTACAGTCAGGGTGAATACTCCCAGCTGCAATGGGCCATTTTAGGCTGTTGCTGGCACCCCGTCTCCCCTCTGGTCGCTGGGCACCATCCTCCATGGCCATTTTGGTAAAACCAGCACCTGATTTTCACAGAGACATCTGCCTGCATAATGCCTGACCTTTCTGAAGACTAATATCTACTTTCTGAAGCACCTCTCAGGTGTTATGCAGGCTCCTTATGAACATGGAATTTGGTGCCATTTTGGAAGAGTCCTGTGTTGTCCAGAAGGCTGATTTAAACTGGGAAAGAGAGCTGGGTTCTGTCACCATGGGTGCACTACAGACTTTTTGCTCCTTCTGCCAGCAAAGGATCTGGTTATACTTTTTATTGTTTTTAATATTTTTAACATTTTTGAGGACTCATGTAAGAGAGCTACACCTGTCACTCTGACTGAGGAATGTCCCCAAACAAGCAGGTTTTAGATCAAGATATTCCACCCTGGATCAATGTGCAATTTTGCTCCATTACCTGAAAAACACTCTACCTCTACCAAAGGCACCCTTTATGCTGCTTTTATTAACTTAAGGGCAGCCTTTGATTCAATTCCTCGTGAGAGACTATGGAGGAAATTAGCTGCAACATCCATTGATTGTCACATTTTCAGGTTGATAATTCTGTTACATCAAAATGCTGCAATGCAGATGAGAAGCAACTAGAATGGTGATTTAACAACCCCCATCCCTATCCTCAGAGTAGTCAATCAGGGCTACATCCTTGCCCCCTTATTGTTCAACTTCTATATAAACAACAACATTGTGGCCAACATTTTCCAGAAGCAATGAGTACTTTCTAAACCAGAATTTCATCTCCCAACGTGTGCCCACCATCCTATTTCAATCCTCTTGAATGCAGATGATGTAGCCATTTCATCCATAACTCAAGTGGGCCTTCATAGATGCCTAGCTGCTTTAGCATCTTACTGTTTCTTGAAATTAATTACTCAATTCCCAACCTGTAAGCTGGGCTATTTCTGAGCCCGAGGTTAGGCAAAGAATCAGATCCCTGTTCAGAAATAGCCTGACAGGTTGCAAGGAATTGACAGGGGGTTGCAAGGAATGGATGGAGAGTTCCTTCCTGCTTCACCTTTTCCCCCTTAGCACTTGTTAGCTGGCAGGGTTCAGGTAGCTAACATCTGTTTAAAGTCCCCACCCCCCATTTCACCACACATTAGGGGACACCGACTGGAGGTTACGTGGTGGGAGGGCAAATGAAGCTGGGGAAATGCATTAACTTGGCTTGTAGAATAGGACTGGCAATGCTGGCAAGACCATTTATGCTGGCATACTTTTCTGCTGGTTCAAGACTGGCGGATTGCATTTTAACTCAGGCACGAGGAGCAACCCTTAGTGTAGATCTTTTCCAGAAGCAAGAACGGAACAGGACCTGTAGGTGGCAGCCGAGCACAATCTAAAAGTACCTTTGGGAAAATCTGAGATCTAAGAGCTTTGTAGAATTTGGTCAAAGAAACAATTCAATGAGACCATTTTTGAAGAGTACTCTCTGAATATGGGTGACTTCTAAGCACGGCTGGTGGATAACACCTCTTTGTTTGCTGGGTGGGAGGGGAACAGCATTTGATATTTTAAATAATGAGCCTTATTAAAAAAAAGAAAAGTTACCACAGCTGGTTAAGATATACAAAATCATTTTGGTAACATGCAGCTGATTGCTAAGATAAACATATGCATGGAAACTAGAATGAGTTTCTATACTACAGGATTTACAGGATGAATAATATATGTAAGATTGTATTTATTCCTCCAACTATGTATGAATTAATGC